AAGAAAAAAAAATTGAATGTGTTTACTTTCTCTTTTCTAATCTCGAGAGTCAAAATCGAAAAAAATCAATATTTACGTCAATATTTTGACTCTTGACCAAATGGCGTCAGAGTCAAAATCGAAAAAAGTTGACGAAGAGGGTTGTATTGGGAAATTGTACAAGTACAAGGGGGTAAATCGACGAAATTAAGAATACGAGGGGGTAAAGTGGTTCTTAGGCAGAGTACAAGGGGGTAAAGTGGAATTTACCCTTTAATATAACATAAGGCCTCCTTGTATTTTACTCCCCCTGTCCCATATTATATGTCTTTTTAGAGAGTTTTTTTTGTCCCAAATTATTTGTCATTTTAGATTTTCAATGAAGCATTAATTGCATTATTTTCAATTTTACCATTAATCACTCTTAACTAATTAGTTAAGAATCAATTAATGTCTTAGGATATTGTAGTAATTTTATCTATTTTTTTACTATAATCTATGCGCATTTATTGATTTTCTTAATATGTGCGAAATAACCCAAAACGACATTTAAATTGGGACGGAGGGAGTAATATGTAACCTCCATGTACTTTTAAAAATTTCATCTTCCTAATGAACATGATTATTTTACAGTGAAATATTATATGGGGATTATGTAATTATATTAAAAAGTAGAAGGGAGTTATGTGTATAAAGTTCAAACTACAGGGTTCATGTGCTTATATTAAAAGTATAAGAGAATTATGTGCATAGAGCTCAAACCACAAGGGGCTTAAGTGCTATTTACTCAAAACTAAAACATGAACATTGTATATAGCTTATGTTTGGGGGCATTAGCTAGAATTTCGAAATAAAAGGAAATTGAAATTTTGGAAATTGTAATTAAAAAATTAAAAGGCACTAGTTTTAAATTGAGAAAATTTTGGATTGGAATTGACAAAAATTAGGGTTTTTTTCTTTTTCTTTTTCGTTTATAGGCCTATGATATAAAGTAGATAATTATATAGATGTAATTTTTAGAATTACTTTTGAGACCGCTCGTACATATATTGCAATTTTAATTAAAAAAGAGTTCAATAAATTTGGAAATTGAAATTTTTAAACTCGGATGAAAAGTATTGTTTGGAAATCGATTCTTTTAGAACCGATACTGAAACTGAAACTGAAACCGAACAAAGAAATCTTTTACTTGGATAATGCCATTATTTTTTCCTGAGAAAGTAGAATAGGAACAAAAATATAGTATAAGTTGTATAACATAGGGAAAATACAATTTTCATCCCTCAAGTTTGTTTTAATATCACTTTTCGTCCTCATCTGCACAAAAAAAACACATTTGACCCCTCAAATTTCAATAAATTGACAATATTAGTCCTTTATATCAATTTTCCGTTAATATATACTAACGGAATCAAGTGTGAGCCTATCACTGACTTAACTGACATATTAATGGTAAATTGACGGAAATGACCATATTGAAACACAATGGACCAAATGTGTTTTTTTTCTGAACATGGCAGCCAAATATGAAATTAATGGAAACTTGACGGGAGAAAACTATAAATTTCAGGGAAAATTACAGTTTATGTCCCTAAACTTTACCACTAAAACGATTTATGTCCCCAAACATTTCAATCCGCTATATATGTCCTTAAACTTGCCACTTTTGATCACTTTATGTTCTGCCGTTAACGTCGGCAGCTAACTTCGACGGAAATTGCACGCGTGGCTCACGTGACGTCTATGTGGCCGTTAAATGTGACGTGGAATAATATATTGAAAATTAAATATTGACGTGGCACAATATAGTAATTTCCTCTAACTCATTCTCCCAAATCCCAAATCCAAATCACGTTTCACTCATAAACCCTAATTTTCCCACACTTCACAATTTCAATCAGCTCAACTCATTCCCAAATTTTCAATCCAATATGCATTCTTGCTCTAACCCATACTAAAATCGGAGTCACAAACCCATAAAAATCCAAACATTTTCATATTTGAAGAGTTGTTTCCTTCTCAGAAGCTACGCTGCTTTGGGAGATTTTTGGAGAAGAAAATGTCAAGAAGGAGCGAATCCGGCATTCAGTGGATTCCAAACTACAGTAAGTATCCTTAACTTTGTAGCTATGTTGTTAAATTATGTGAAAATGTGATTTTTGATTTTTCTAATTTTGGTTTTTTTTTTGTTTTTTTTTGTTTTTTTTTGTTTTGCTTCCTCAAACACCGTAGTTGAAATGGGTGAACCTACATGTTTTAGCATGAAATTTTTTTATGGTGGAACAATGAGGCATGAACCAACTAGAACATATATAGGAGGGCAAGTAGAATGCTTTGATTTTTTGGATATTGACCAATTTGGTATATTAGATATGTGGGATTTTGCAAATTCTTTAGGGTACACTGAGAAGGGAAGTTTCAAATTTTGGCTAAAACATGAGAATTGTTTTAGGCCAATTGAAACTGATGCTGATGTTCTTAGCATAGCTGACTGTATTCCTTCAAACTTTGAAGTTCAGTTGTTCATTGAAAAGGTTAATAACTCAGAGGGGGGTACTGAATCTGTCATAAATGATGAAATTGGGATAGATGAAACTGGGGTAGAGTTAAGTGATGAGGGTGATGACAGTGAAGATGATGACATTTTTTATGAGTCAGAGTATGATATGGAGGATGATGATAAGCTATTTGAAGCTTATGTTGATCCTGAAGCTGAATTTGGTGGTTTAGACAAGGGCAAGGGTAAGATAGATGAGGGTAGTGAATTCATAAGTGGTGGGATGTTTGATAAGCTATATAATGAAGAAGGGGAGGAAAATCTTGTTGCTAGTGATGATGACTTTGTCAGTGGTGGTAGTGATGAAGAAAGTGTTGGGGTGAAATACCCTAAGTTCAATCCTAGAACTGAAAAAAAAAATCCAGAACTGAAACTAGGATTAATTTTCAGTAGCAGGGATGAGGCTAAGTTTGCCATTGAGAGTCATTGCTTTAGGAGAGGTATGATGATAAAATTTCAGAAGGTTGACAAGATTAGGTTGAGGGCAGTTTGTAAAAAAGATGGGTGTGAGTGGTTTTGCTATGTGGGAAAGATGCAGGGGGATAGTGCTTGGCAAATTAAGAGCTATAATCCAAATCATAACAAATGCTCTTGGAATTATAACAACACAAGCATTAAATCAGGGTGGATTGGGAAGACTTTTGTGAAAAAATTGAAAGAAAATCCAAAATTGGGCACAAGTGAATTTAGAAATGAAGTTTGTACCACCTTAAAGGCCAATGTATCTAGATCACAGGCCTATAGGGCAAAGCAAAAGGCTCTGAAACTGATTCAGGGTACTTTAGAGGAACAGTTTAGCAAAATAAGGGATTATTGTCAAGAGTTAGATAGGAGTAATAGTTGAGAGTGAGACAAAAGAGAGTTGGATGTGGTTTTTGAATATGCTGAATGTTGATCTCAACTTTAGTGAAAATGAACACACATGGACATTCATGTCTGACAAGCAAAAGGGCTTGATTCCAGCCTTTGAAACCTTGTTCCCAACTGCTGAAAATAGGTACTGTGTTAGGCATCTTCACAGTAACATGAAAAGGGATGGTTTCACTGGATTGGCCATTAAATCAGCCTTATGGGCTGCAGCAAGGGCAACTAGAGTTGAGGAATTTCAGAGGAGAATGCAAGAGTTGAAGGAGATCGATGAAAATGCCTATATTTGGCTAGCCAAAAAACCTCCACAAAACTGGTCTAGGTCTCATTTCACTACCTATCCCAAGTGTGATATTTTGTTGAATAATATGTGTGAGTGTTTCAATAGCTTCATACTGGATGCAAGAGAAAAACCAATTATCTCTTTGCTTGAATCTATTAGAAACCTCTTGATGACAAGAATTCAGATAAATAGAGAAAAAGCACTTAAGTGGGATGGTCCTCTCTGTCCTAAGATTAAGCAAGTGTTGATGAAGACAATGAAAGAAGCTGGAGAGTGCATTCCAATAAGGTCTGATGAGTGGAATTTCCAAATTATGGGACCTTCAACTCAGCACAGTGTTGATGTTAGAGAGAGGAGGTGCAGCTGCAGGAAATGGGATCTCACTGGAATCCCTTGTAAACATGCATGTTCTGCTATCTGGTGCAGAAATGAAGATCCAGAATCTTATGTGCACAATTGTTACAAAGTGGAGACCTATCTGAAATGCTATGAAACTCCTATCTTTCCTTTAAATGGACCTGAATTGTGGCCTGCCAGTACAATAGAGCCTCCATTACCACCCAATTACACAGACAAAGTAGGTAGGCCTCAAAGAATTAGGAGGAGAGAAGCAGATGAGCCACCTGTTGCAAAAAATCCTCATAGGCTGGTTGGAGTTAAAAGATCACACAAGTGCAGAACATGTGGAGGCACAAACCACAACTCTAAAACATGCAAAAAGAGGAAGTTTTCACAGGTTCAAGAAGGGAGGCAGGGTGATGGTATGAGTGCTGAG